GATCATCCTCTTGACTTAATATAAGCTGTCAAAAATGACACAAATTACTAAAATTATAATGAAAAGGGCTATCAAGATAAAACTTTCTGCAAAGTTTTCATGGCTCTGACCTCCCTACTTGTAGAAAGTTTTATCTTGATCGTCGAAGCATAATTTTTTAACATTTCTTTTGGGCAGGCTCCACAATCACACTGTTTACCACACACATCACAGCCCTTGTGCAGTATGGAAGGTTTTTGTATCTTCTCATTAAAAATCTGTTTTAAAAACTGTTTCCACATGCCTACATTTAACTTTGTTTTTAACAAATGCCCTCATTGTGGGATCACAGTAACACAAGTGGTATGCACGGTAAAACATTATGGACAAAACATCAGAACCATCCCTTTCACCCCTTCCAACTGCTTGAAGGTATGATTCCATGTTCTCTGGCACTCCAAATATAACAACCCTTTTAGATGTTGGTTATGTTAACTCCCGTTCCCAGGGCACTAGCTGTTATTACCAGGCAAGTATTTCCATTGTGAGACAGTTAATCAGTCCTGAAAAAAAACATTATATTATCCTTGATGTCTTGAGGGGTCTTTGAGTGATACACAGTCCCTAATGTTACTTTTTCATGGAAGGAAGTGTTGAAAAGTGTCGCAAATGTCACCACGTCACTGCTCTTAATGACTGGCAGAAAATTATGATTTTTTCCGCATGCACATCGTTTACTATATCATTGATAAGCCAATTAAAGGTATCCTGTGGTTCACTCTTAGGATGCATTCCTTTGGGGTGATCTGGATTAGGATCAGTGATCCAAGATCACTCAGATCATGGTACATCAAAGGAACTGATGAATCCACTCTGGTCATGGATTCATCAGCTCCTTTTGTTTGATGCACAATGATCTGAGTGATCTTGGATCCCTAATCCTGATCCAGATCACCTCAAAGGAACACACCCTTAGCTTTTTCAACAATATATTTGACATTTCTTTTGTCAGGTGACATCCTGATGGTTTTGACAGCAGTCATATTTAACATCTTATTAATTTTATTAATTTTTCCCCAACTTTGTGCTGGCTGTTGCAGTCAGGCAAACATTGGAACTTTCAGAATTGTTTTTACTGTATGTTGCCAACTATAGAATAGGCAGCCTGGAAGGGAACTTGGCCATGATTACCCGTCCAACTTAACCAGTGTGACATGAATATCACCATGTGAATATCAATAAGTGATAATTAATCAGTAATTAATGTTGATTCATTGTGGCAAAGATTAAATAATGCCAAACTAATAATAAAAATGCTCAAAAGTATGCCTGAGTAACAATAAAAACAGCACAATGTGCTTTCTAGTAAACTAGTTTATCTCTCAAACCGAAATGATATCATAATTAAATCATCAGGTATATACAATCATGATTCAATTTAATTCTTGGTTTGATTTAACGTTTCATTTAACTTATTTCTGGTTTGTGCATGCATAATAATTATCCTTCACCGACACAAAGGAAAATAACAATGAAAAAGAGTAAAGATGATTATTACTCATGATCTGTAAGAAGCTGAAAAAAGAATGACAACTCACCAAATAACCATACAATGAGTTTCATCTAAAACAACGCCAAAAATATTTTCTTCGCTCAGATTTGATGAACCTTCTAAATGCTTTACTTGAAAACAACAAATCGCCGGGGTCGCCCTGTTTAAATTCCTCGAGCTTCAAACAATTCTTACCGAAAACTTGGTAAGTTTGGCTTTGGTCTTCGATCAGCGCAGTTAGTGGGCAGAGAAAATCAGAGCTCGGAGTGCTTTTGCAACTCTTTTGCGAACGGGAGCGAAGGTTGATAAGCTTATAAAATGAAAGATTTTCCGTGACCAGTGACCCTGGGTAAAGATACGAAAGTCCCAGATGTGAAAGACTTGATCGAAGCTGACTGATGCTTGCGTGTAAGCAGAGCATCGTCAAGCGTTTTCGCACGATCTCCTTTCGCCGGCCCTTTCGCCGCCATGTTTTTCTTGCAGCCAGTGGGCTCAGTTTCGACCATCGGTTTCTCGTAAAAGTTGATGCTCGCACTCGAAAAACCAGTTTGACGACCGTAAACCGGAATGACTAGCCCGAGATTTGGGGCTACGGCGACTTCAAAGGCTAAAGCAGATTTGTGCAGAGCCTCTTTTTCCGTCTCTTGGCCTGCTCAAAAAAAAAAACGATAAAAGAGGCTCTGCTCGCAGGGTGACAACCTCTCTGCAAAAAGCCGCCATTTTGTAAGCAAACTTACCACAATCTGCCAATTCCATATTTGGGCAAAAAAATTCCGTGGTTCTGATTGGTCCGCTAAAAACCCCAGCATTGTTCCAAACATATAAAGAGGATTTAGACGCGAGGTGATATGCTTCTGGTTCGACACATAAGGAGAACGCCGTATGAATCAGCTGCCGCTCCAACGTCGCATAGTGCGACAGACCCTGCCGAATTTAATGTTGTTTGCCGCACCAAACCTAACCTGCCGAACCAAACTGATTCAAACGCCGCTCTTCTGCCGTACTTAACTCATCAGTTAGGTTGGGCGCTTGAATGGAGCGGCGTTTGGAAAGGGCCTCCTACTCTTAAAGATCAATTAACCCCAAAGTATTCATTTGATTATATAAATTTCCTTGTTTTTCTGATCACCACTGCGAAAAATATCGTTCATTTTCTATGAATTTTCAAGGTAAAATTGACCATCTCCACGGCTTCGATGGAGGAATAGCGAAGAATGGGACGAATTAACCTGTGACGTCATCGAAGGACTAGTATATGCGAACAATGAGAATAAAATAGATGCGAACGTGTGATATAAAATCGTTGCAGAATGCAATGAAAATGCTTTGTAGGAGGGAGTAGCAGTACAACATGTTGACTTTGTGGTTTAATAAACGGGAGGACTACGGCTACACAACTTCCTGTTTTTTTTCCGGCACTCGCTGTATTCCTGAAAACTTGAGTTGAAGCCAAAAGGAATCTGGGTACAAACAAGCGTTGAGAACTCGCAGGAACAGAACTCAAAACGTGCGCTTCACTTGCTGAAATTTTAGTTTCGAGATACGAAGGAAAATATTCTTCGGGAGATCTTTGGGACGTTTTTCCGCTGTACTGAGAGAAATACACAAAAACTGTGAAAATGATGACGCGGTAATCTAAAAAGCCAAAAACATTTTTATTATAAATTGTCAATTTTGGGGTATACTGATACCGTCTAGTCTAGTGTGGAAAGCGCTTAACGATAACAAGGTGACCGCTATTGAATTCAAAATCGTCATTGACGAAATGAGTACTTAGCTCATAATTATCAGACCCTCAAAGAGAGAGTTTTGGGGTTGAAGGGTGGTAAGGGGTCCTGGTGGAGTGCGCTGGGGCCACCAGGTGTACTTCGCAAATGCCAGGAAATGCCCATCGTGCCAAAGGCTCTGCCACCAAGTCGGCTGTCACATGTCCTCGTCATAACCCCGGTAATGCAGTTGTACTGCAGCTGAGCGACAACGGCAAAAGGCGGGTATCCGGCGCCTTTCAAATAACGGGATATTGAGGCTAAGGGAAGAACACCCTGACAGAAAACCCAGGCCCTCCAGGTTGGGGGTAGGGCATGGGGCCAATCCCCCCATCCCGTAAAGAATTATCGATCACAGAAACCGGAAAAAAAAAGAACTGGCCCTATACCCACTTAAGGTTATGGTCAAAATCAATCAATCATCAATCAAAGAGAGTGTTAGGGCTAAACTCACACGAAAGCCTTCTCCTCAGTCAAGTCACCAAGTGAGTTTGAAAAACTCAAGAAAGGGAGCTTAGAATTGAGGTTAGCAAAGAACTTTCAACAGAACCTTAAACACATAAGTCATCGTACTCAGACTCTCCCCGTTTCTTTCCATTTTCACTGCAATCTAGCGTATTCGTTAAGACGATGCCTTCTAATTCTCTGCTTCCCAAGAGCCACAACAAACCAGTGCCAGGTATGATGCGGTTCCTCTGTGTTTTTATTTGCCTTGGTGTACTACTTCTCCTGTGCTTGCTATATTTCACGGACATGATGAACAACTGCCCGCCTCTTGTTGGAGTTGTTTCTCCAAGTGAAGGCACTGGATATCAATTTGGTAATGGAATCAATAAATTAAACAGTAATAATAAATTCAACTCTTTGATTAACTCAAAGAAAGGACCAGACAATTCTCGTAACAATGTCCATCAGAGCCGTCGTCAAGCAAAAAGGTCGTTAATTTCGCGTAGATTGCAAGACTTCCGACACGAGTGGCTTCGTCAGCGCCGTGCACGGGTAGACTGGAAGAATATTATTAAGCCTTGCACTGACAATATGGCCTGGGGATTAGTGAAGGAGCATTGGGGTAAAAGCAATAGAAGCAACGCTACAACAAGTGACATTATATTCAAAGATATCAGACCAGCGGGAGAGTTCAGCAGGATTTTCATCCAGTCAAAAACCTCAGACAATCGAACGAAGTTGATTGGTGGAGACACGTGGAGGGTTTACGTACGTGGTCCAACAAGCATTGCGGCCACTGTTTTCGATCACAATAATGGAACTTACGAAGCTCTATTTCTCATCACGGAGCCTGGTGTCTATCAACTAATGATTTACCTTGATTACAGTCTTTGTGATGGTTTCAAAGACCCACCTCGTGATTGGTTCATCATAGGCGGCGTTCATGGGGCCAACCACAGAAATGGAATTCTAGGACCCTTAGACGAGTACTTGGTAAAGCATGGACATCGTGCCTTAAACATAACTGTGAATAAGGCTCAGCTAAAAGCCCCTCTTTCTGGTAAGTAGATTTCTTTGTAACTTTGTTAAGGGTGAGAATATTTTGTCGATCAATAATAACCCAGCCGCTTATAACAGTTTCCAGCACAGTCAGTCAGCCTATATTGATATCAAACATGCACAAGTTCTCCGTTTTCCCCCTTAGTTTTAGTTTCGATTGAAAGGACATATCAATCACTCAAGACAGTGTTTGACCACATTTCCAAACACCTCGAAATTCGTCAAAATTACTCCGCTGCGCGTCTTATTTCCAGCTCTCTTCGCAGGGTTTGTAAATGTGGTCGAACAAGGTCTTTCCTGTTTGATTTATTACATAAACGTTTAAAGATAAAAGTGTTTTGTTAGCTTAAACTGTTGCTATAACTTGTTCACTGGATGACTGGGCATTTGCTTGACGTCATCACTGTAGTGTCAACTGAAAACGAGTGGCAGTAATAGTTTATCAAAGTACAATTGCTGAAACATGCTGCAAACTGTTGTGAGTGACCATCAGCTCACGTTCCGCATTAGTGATCTGTAATGTTATGTAATGTAATATGCAATAAAAACGCTTAAGTGCATGTGCATGCGCAAGATTGTGATGCGCAAAATGGTAATGTTCAGTCACTTTATTATATGGCTCTATTATGTGAGCAGGCAGGATGAACCAAATTCTTCACTGTTATTGGCTACCGAGCGGGTAGATGGGCTATTTTGCCCGCTCGTTATTACGCGCTTTGTCAGGCAGGAAAAAATCTTTTATTAACCAAGCTTGCTTGATTAAGATAGCTGGATATTTAATTTGCCCCCTTCTTTATTTTTTACACCACGACACCATCTCGCTTCATAAATACTTAAAAAGAGCACTTAGCCAATATCAAGCCCTATTACACAACAAGGGCCAACAACTGAAATCAGTCAATCAGATTGGTCTATCACCGGTCCAATATTAATATCTCACTAAGTAATAGACCGGGCATTATCCCGAATGATTTCGCACGATGGCTCTTGAAGAATTTCTGTAGTTTTATGGTTTAGGTTTCTTGTATTCATATAAAAGATTCTTTTTTTCCCCTTTCCTTCCAACTTTCTCTTACATGTTTTGTTTTGTTTTTGTTTTGTTTTTGTTTTTAATTTTGTTTGTTTGTTTGTTTGTTTTTTTTACATCAGTCGTGAGTATATGTCAAGTCGGATCCCAATCAGAATTGCCCGTTTAAAGTCTGAGATATTTTTACAGTCCGTGAGCGTATCAATTTTTCTTAACATTTTCAGTCGTGTAATAAATCTCTGATTAACCAAGCTTGCTCGAGGAAAACATCGGCACTCGGTCTTGTTTGTACGGAGCTCGTTGCGCTCGGACCTTGCTGTCAAGATCTCTCGCCGATGTTCTTCTTGTACGGCTCTCGCGTTTGGAAAATAGCCAAGGCACTCAGCCAGAGAAGTACCTTAGGGAGAAAAGAATCTCGTTTTCGTGTCTGGTGAGACATATAAAAAGCGAGAAACATTTTAAACACACAGCAACAGACCAGCAACACTATACCACTGCTGCGCATGCCCAGATTAGCAAGCTGCGTCGCTTCGCTGCGCAGCAAAAAAAACGTAGTACATAGATTATGGTTATTTTCAGCATTAACATCACGAGCTCAGCTGTTTTGTTTTAGCTTAACAGGCTTTGAAGAGTCAAATGTTACCAATGAAGTATTCTACTTTATTGATTCTCATGCAGACAAACTTGAAGGACTTGCCTCCTGTTCTGAAACCTGCAAGTATTTGTGGGATGGATTCGGTCAATGGAAAACACGACGGTGGATGCCATATCTTAAAGGTTGGGAATGAGTTTTTGAGTCTTTCAATTCTCACACAGGAGATCTAGCGACGGTACATCAGTCAAAACAAATAAGGCGTTTGTAAAAGAAACGACGACGACGTCGCTAACGTCAGTTGAAAGTTTTATTTCTTTAGTCACGAACTGTCAAGCCATTCAGTTTATCAGAAATGCGTATCATTTGTCGCCTTATTTCAAGTTATCCTAAACTGCCGCAGAATTTAATAGGCCATTTCGTTGTTTATTCTACGATTTCACATTGTTATGGGCTGTACTTTTGGTTTACTTTAACATGTTTTCTCTTTTTAATTTTATATAAAGCAGAGTCCTTCAATTGGTCGATGCCACAAAAGTACAAAAAATCTGGAACGCTTTGGATCTATGGTGATTCACTGAGTATGCGGTTTTACAAATCTGTCATGACTCGTCCCTTATGTAAATCTCTATATAAAAAATGCCGCAATAGCTACATGTGGATCTACCCTGCTCACAACAAAGGCTTGAACATTAAACTGGAAAGTGATCTTGATTTTAGACCTGAGAAAGTCATCGAAATCATTGTCAACGTTCTTCGCAAGCCTGAAATGCAGAAGGAAGAAAGCACCTTACTTTTAAACCTGGTCCTGCATTTTTCAAAAACCGTCAATTTTACCACTTATCAGAGGCTCGTAGATGACTTGATGCTGGTTTTGAAGGAGAAGGAACTCTTACATGGTAAAATAGTTCTAAAGTATAAGTCTAAAATCATTTGGAAGTCATCCACCGCCATCTGCAAGGAACAGGCCTCGTCCTCTGAGAGCACTGATTTTCGATTTTACACTTCCCAGGTTTGTACTCTCTGATTTGCCAGCTTCTAAGGATACAAGGGTATAAATAAGATCAGTAAACGTTCTAAAATTCGTTGTTGTACAATGTTTAATTGAAAACGCGTCTCCTCTTGCCGTTTATTTTATTAGCCGACATCTGCTTCGAAGCTAAGGTGTCATCTAAGCTAGAACAGCCTTTTATCGGGGAATTCTTGATGGGCTTCTAAGTAGTTCGAGTATAAAATGTGAGATATTCCACATTTGATTGACTGTTTCAAATTCTTAAAGATGCTCCAGATCTAGAAGTTGACAAGATATACTCTCATGAAACCATAAAGACAGGCAGAGTGTTCAAGACAAACGGTTAGAACCTAAACAAAATATTTGCGTTCTCTCATTTCAGCGAGTTGTCCTCTTCAACGCCTACTCGGTGTCAGCCTTGTGCAAAGCAGGATTTGACGTCATAGACGTGTATTCATTGACCGATTCGTATCCACCTAGATGCGTGGACCATGTTCATTACAAACCGAAAGCTTTTCACATGGTGGAGACAATGCTTGAGCAGTACAAAGTACACTATAACAAGAAACTCCACGAAAATGAAAAACATGGTAAAATAAAACGATGTGTAAGTAAAGAAAACGTCTGACAGCATAGGTAGAACAGTTGGAAGGCACGTTTTTAAACCGTCACCAGATGGCTTCGGTGGAGCAAGGTTTTGAAAAATTCGAACTTAGTGGGAGATGAATTTAAAGATGTAGGAAATAATCAAGTATGTTTATTCTGTATTAAGTCGTCAATCGAAGAAAACTTTACCAAAGTACGTAATAGTTTTCCATTTTATGTCAATTTCCATACGTCTCACTGAAGCCCGTATCAACTTGCTACACCTCGTCCCTTTCCCCGTTTCGCCGCCTCTGTTTCTAATCACAGCTTCAAATGTCGTAGAAAGACTGCAGTTGTTCATCGAGGTAAAGTACAATAATAATAAAGTATTCACGTTTGACTCACGATGTGGTCGCTGGGTATGTAGATCGCGACGCTTTGACTGCATACTGCTCATCATGCAAGCGATGATGACGACTGGCTAGGTAAGTCGTCATCCATAAACTACCAAGCTCCTCTGTGATTGGTTACTTTTCAGTGGCTTTGATTGGTGTATTTCGATCTTGGCCGCTGTTTCGGTTAGTTGTTTCCTCTGCAGTCTTCTGTCGTACGGCTCTCCTGTTGTTGTGTTTCTTGATCAGGGCATCCATGGAATTTCCATTCCATCATCCCAGTGTTTATAGGGTGAAATCTGATGTGAATCGCCCCTGCGTGTGTATTGATAAGAATCACGATTAATGAACTACACTTAATTCCAAAGCAGGTAGCTCATGAAATCGACTTAAAATTTTCCAACATTACCAAGATATCCTTTCAAAATCTCTGTCTGCAAACCATCGTCATGCATTAAAGTGCCATTGCTACTTTGGATATGACACATGCTAGCCCAAGCCGACCGCACCAAGTACTTTCAATACTTACACAGTGGAAGCGCACACCGGAGAACTTGCGTGGTGTTGTTCAATATAGCTATTTGCGTACTCCCTATATATTGGAGACTAACAACTAAAAAAAGTGAAAAGCTTAAATAGATTAAGGACTCTCGTAAACAGGAAATCTTCGGTCTTTAAAGTGACATATTTTATATATTTTAATTTTGGTCTTTATAAAAACCGTTACAGTGCTGAACAATCTTTGTTTATTTTAAAAAGCGTTTAACTAATTTAGTTATCCTTTTGGAGTTTTAAATACATCCATCCAACGTCGAAAAAGGTCCTTTAATACGCCATACAATTCTACTAATTCCTCACTCTTTTCTTTCCCCATGCAAGACTCGGCAAAGAAGGTAATTTGTAAAACTTAAAACCATCGAACAAGGCCTGTTGATCTTGAAAAATTAAAGTTGTTACCGTGGTTATTCAATAACAGGGCAATAATAATGATACGCTGCAGGTATTCTGCTGTCCAGCTTAGCTTATTAACAACGCATTTCCACTCTGAATTCTCCTTTCAATTTTTTTGGTTTCCAGTAGTTTAATGTCACACCGGATATCACAGAACTGTTACCGACTCTGCTTATCACTTTATATAAGGTCTTCAAAAAAAAAAATACATACTTGTCTAATTGTGTCCTTCACTGTCCTTCACTTAATCCTCCAAAAGTAAAGTGTCGTATTTAATGATGAATTGGAGAACACTAAGGTGGCAGTAAACTGCGTAGCAAGGACGACAGCAGAGGACAGTCCACTATCAGTAAGTACAGCTTCCACTATTCCATGTGGCAGATAAGAAATGGTTAAGGCCAACTGCAACCACAACGCACTGGATACTTCATGCCTTTCTGTATCGCGCTATATTCAATGGAATTATTTGGCTCGGTTGTTGTTGGTGAACAGGATCTTCTTCTTGAACCTGATGGCTATCGATGGAGGGCAGGGAAAATCTTTGTGTAAGATATGATCGATAGTGCTACACAAAGTGATGCTATCATATAGCCATGGGATAACGTTACCAGATAGTGAAAACAGTACATCGTTGCAGGGAAACTGGACATGACCCAAAAGCTTATCACAAATAGAAAAATTCGCTTTAATGCCGGGCGCGACGTCTGTCCACGCTTATTGCAGACAGTGTCGGCGAAGACATCCCACACAAAACGTATCCTGCAATGAGACTGGCAGCAAATGTATAGCGACACATATCCCATCGCTCATACAAATAGACTTATCTCATAGCCAGCATAGATAGGTTGTACAATAAGACGAACAAAGAGATCAGTTATTGCCGGACAACGTAACAAAATTTTTGATGACGGATGAAGTGAAGACACCTTGTGGAGAGCAAGTAGGATTATAATATTTTCCAGAAATGCAGTGATGGACAGAAATATATTCAGCACTGATAGGTAGGTTAACGGATGCGCCAGCTGTCCAACTGGCAGCTGTCGTGCATATTAGTTGGTGTAACGTTTTCTGCGTTCGATTTCCAGAAACGTTTGTTATTGCCATTGCCGCTTGTGGAAGGACTTGTGTGCTTATATATTTTGATGTTATTGAACTGGATTCACTTAGATGAATATTACGTCTTAAATATAATGGGTTCGTGCTTTTTATGCGGCTTCCGTAAACAATGTCTTCCATTCCCTAAAACGTCAAATGTATGAATACAGTATTTTAATAAGTCATTGGCTTAAGTTAAAATATGGCTGGTTTGTGAAAATCGTCTATATTATATGTCTGTCTGTATTATATAAATCATCCTTTTGCCATTTAATTTTTTTTTATCCTTGGGAACTTTCTCTTTAGGTCACCTGCCACCACAAATATGAAAATGGGCAAACAGAGAGCCGGAAAGTCATAAGGAGAAAAATATGTGACATTGGTCAGTGTTGAAAATATCATTTGACAAGCAGATATTGATAGACTGTTCAAGTTTTCCTTTAGTTTTTTTTGTCAGCGAAAAGGGTTTGGCACATGCATGTATATCAAAAAGCAATTCGTTATTTTCCAATTCCCTATTTTTGCTTTGCTTTGAGCCAAAATTGAATTTTGGCCGAACTGAGGTTGCCGACCGTCATCAGAAAGGTAAAATTCGCCGATTTTGTGAAGCGCGCTACGTCCCCTAAAATACAGCTCAAGGAATTTTGTTTCCACACGAATTCTACGCTACATTCATTACTTTGACTGACGAAATATGGAAACTTTCGGAAAATTCGAAAGTAACCAGCGAGGCTGAAAGACACCCTACTCTGAGGCCTCTGTTCACCTACTACAATTTAACCAAATTTGAGAAAGATAATCTCAAAAGTTGGGTCTAAATAAAGGCTAAAAAGCAGATCACAATAAATTCCTTACCTTAATAAACCGTTCTGTAAGTTCAAACCGGTGGGTATCTCCTTGGATTGCAAGCGAGAAGAGATTAAAATCCGCCACAGTCAGCTCATTTGCATAACCCTTGCACTCAGTGAAAATGCCTCTTCTGCCGTTCAGGTTCGTTTGCTGACCTTCTGAGTAGTGGTAAATAGCTTCCTTTAGTACCTGTATACACTGTAGATCCAGTTTTGATGTGAATGTTGCGTTAAAGTTGATCAATTCTCAAGACTTGCGAGACTCCAAAATTAAATATTAAATGGCGCTGGTCTGCACAAATTAACCGCAGCCGTCGTTCTGATAAGTTGCTTCAATAAATTCTGCCGCAGAAGTAACACAAGAAGACGACAAATTTTCAACGCAACCGTGAAAACGACCGTCGTTTGAAAAATAAAGCTCAATCTTTGAGATTTGAATTGGAAACGGTTGATTTCACATGATCGAAACCCCATTGCTCTCAGCATGCGGTTGTTATCAAAGATCACAGAACTCAAATGAGGACGAGTGAAGGTCTTCCCATCATGCATTAAGACTGAAGCTAATATAAATAAATGTAGATGTAGATGTAGATATCAAAAGTTTTTGTGACGTCATCATTCGCTGAGGAGACTCTCGTGCAATCAAACTCATGGCCTGGTTTTGCATCGTAAATATTCCGGTTTTATTTGATTTCTTTACTCACGAGCTGCGACTTAAAGGTAAAAACGACTTCTCATTGCGAGCTGAACACGAACCAGACAACATTTCGGATTGCAAAGCATTTCAATTTGAAGTATTTTCCGACGATATTCCGAGTCGTTCATCAGTATAGTTATTGACGGCAAGAAAAAGGTTCCAAAGTTAAAACGGGCGCTCTTTCTCGGTCAAGTTGTGTCGTTGGATCGTTGTAATTTAAACAGAATATGTATCCTCTCATATAAAGATGACTCAATAGTCATGTAGAAAGTACAGTAAAAACCATGGTCAGCTTAGCAAAAGGTTTTTATATACGCTTAATTGCTGTTTACTGGCAAATTAAGTTATTTAGGTTCTTTGACCAGGTTCCTATTTTCTTTAAAAAATATATGCCGGAAGGAAATTGTCTGTTGTTGATATAAAATATGCATCGTAATGTCTACATTAGATGCAATCTAAACACTGAGTACAAACCCTTTCTTAATTAAGTTATTTTCAAGTTTCTCTCAATTCGGAAGAAACATATTTGAAACAGAGAAAAAATATTTTAGAACACAGCGATTATAATTCCTGATTCAAAGATTACTTGGTCCCGAAGGTACATATAGGTTTCAAAGGGGTTTTGAATGAAAATCTTTGCCTAACAGGTTCTGAAAGACATTGTTTTATTAGTCTGCATGCGAGCCAAGTGGCCCATCAGGCCGGAGCTTATCCCGGTTTCTGTAGCATGAAGCGACTAGGAGTATTTCTACTCCCCCCTGGATGGGATGCTAGTCCATCGCAGGGTTNTCTTGCCCAAGAACACAACACAATGTCCCCGGCCAAGGCTCGAACCCGGACCGCTCAATCCGGAGACGAGCGCACTAACCATGAGGCCACCGCGCCTCCCTATTGTTTTCTTATATGCAGGCGTTAAATGCAATGTGTAGTCATAGGGGGAAGATATTCAGTAAAATAATATGTAAATTATCTTGTGCCATTTTCTTGTGTAGTCTGTGCAGTTAGTCCCAATGTCTGACAATCGAAATAAACTTTAGTTGTAGTTTCAATGGGGTACTGTCTCTTTCTGGTAATTTGAAAGTAATTTTGTTTTAACCTGGAGAGCCTTTATAGAAAGGTAAAAAAAGCAAACAGTTCCTCATGTTTTAACAAACATCCCTGTCGGAAACTATCGGGAAATATTATGTTCATTGCGTAACTTTGTTATATCAGGTTACAGTCTATAAAGTAAGGATCGTGTGCAAGTATTACAAGTATGAGTGAAAGAATAATGATGCATGTTTGTTGTTTGCGTGGAACTAAAAGAAAAGAGTTACTTAGCCGATGAAATTATGTTTGATGGTTTGGAAGTTGACTCGAGAAATATAACTAACTTCAAGTGTTACTGTCTTCAATAGAGCTGGTTAAAGGTTTTTGATTTGTGAAACTGTGGACCTTTTTAGAGCATGATATCCAACAACCCCACTATTGCAATTGACTAAAGAGTTTCCTAACAGATGGCACTTCATGGAGTTTATAAATTATTAAGAAATAATGAACAGGCTCCTCAGTTGAGTATAAGGAATAGGCAGATATTCAGGCTGACACGAATTGCGGGCTTCCTCTGTTCTCTTCGCTCCAATAGAGAGCCCGTCACAGTTTATGAAATTCGACTCGCACTTTGACCCACACAGCATCAAAATCCCACGAGTCACATGGTGATCACTTTCATCCCTTGTCTCTTTGTTTACTCGCGGCACTTTGTGCCTCATACGGAAAGTTTCGCTTTCCGAAATCGCTTTCCGACGACCACAAGACGTATTATGCGTGTTGACTAAATATATTTCGAAATTCGTCTTGAACGACGCACTAGGAGAGATAGTTAGGCTAGACGCCTAATACGTCTTGCGCCCTCTTTATATTAGAGACGCATAACCAGACGAACTACAAATGTTTGCCCAAGGTCGTCCAGACGGATAATGCATCTTCAAAATGGCCATTTATGCTGTGGATTCTTGTCGTTCTTTTCACGCTTGCGATGCCATTCAAGATCGTCAGTGCGAACCAGCGACTTGGACTCGAATCGCCCGACGTTATGACCTTACACTAGACAGACCTAAGGTCACCCAACGACAAAAACGACATCATCTATCTTTTTTTTCTAAGAAACGTGTACGTATCTCACCACATTCGAAGACATTCTCAGAGTGATCAAAATCGCGATTGGTCTAGCGCGAACGTACCTTTATTGGTAACAAATATGGCTTCGCGCGTTCATTTTGATTTTGCTCAGGCGGTTTGGTTGCTTATGTAATTCGTGTTTTTTCCGTATCATTACCAAGCCCCCCCCCCCTTCCGCTAATTAAGATATGTTTACTTCATTCAAAATGAGGCAAAGGCTTTCTTTAGTTGTTTTCTCCATTTCTCGTATTTGTAGAAACGTTTACAATCATAACCTACAGGCAAATTACAATAATAACACAGTATTCAAC